TTTTATTAAGACCTCTTCTTTTATGATTTTTTATAAAGAAACCAAACTATGAACTGTCTAAAACAAATCTAAAAAACTCAAACAAGTCAAATGAAAAAAAAATAACAAAATCAATCAGACTCTTATGTATCTGGAATGGTCATAATACTATCTATTATTGTTCCACTTTGTGCAGTTGCATATAGGAAAACAAGGGTTTCAAGGAAGTTTTTGGTCAATGATGCAAATGATTATATCATGACTAATATGAGCAAATTGTAAAAATATTCAACAATTATATCAAAGTAGGTAAAAACACAATGGTTGCTTGGTGGATATAAATATTTTATGAGAATATATGTAGGAGATAAATTGATATGTATTATGACAAAACAATTTGTTGATCATCTCTCTCAGTGATTTGATGATAACCTCTTTTACCTTATACGAAGTATTATTGTTTCTGTCTTTTAGTTCCAGCGATCATCACCGAGTCTGTTCAATGATCGCTGAGAACATGTAATGTAAATCCATCAGCGACATCGATACTTCAAGAAGACAAAACTCACACCAAAGAACCTTCAGCGAAAGTCGAAGACTAAAACTGAAGATTAGAGACAGGTGCGTTCRTGATCTGAARCGGCATTCAATGATTACAACATGGTCTACATATGTGTGAAGACTRGYCAAGCCTCAGCGAATGCTGAAGAGACCTTCACGGTTATTCCAGCATTCAACGWTTAAAAGAAGCTTGTTGAGCAAGATTACTTTTGTCTTGTCCTTCTACAAATTAATGACAAACCCATACCCTTTCTAGAATATAGTACGGTACGGAGCCGATTAGTTGACTCTACTACCCACCAACTCCATGAAAGGATGTMTGTTCATGAATATGCTTTTGTACTATTCACTGTAGCAAAGGACAAGTCTTTCTCTAAAGGCTTGACGCGTGTTCAAATCCTACTGCATTGCATTAAATATSCATTTAATGCAATTGATATAAATAGATGTGTWTTATCTTCATGTAGAGATACTCTCTAACCTTAATCCTTACGTGCATACGTGAAAGAACACACACATCTATGAACACAATACGCTTATCTTCAAAGCAAGTTAGAATCCCTTTTTCAAGTATTCTAAATAGTTCTTACCCAGAAAGATCTCGCTTTCTTCTTAGTCTTAATAGCAAATCTTTTCTCTTTGTTTAAGAACAATTGTGTGTAACTTAGATTGTTTAGATATGTTATCTTTACCTTATCTTATTCCACATATAATCTTGTAAAATCTGTATTGATCATTCTTTATCAATATATATATATTTTAAATTTGAAAAGTTTATTGTGTTTGTATTCACCCCCCTTCTACAAATTGTTTCTAAATATCTTGTAGAACCTAAAGGGACCAACACAATTCTCATAATACATCTCATGATTATATTCAATATTTTGAATTTTTTTTCAATAATTTTGAACCAATTACAAATTGATATATAAGACTTATTAATAAATATATTATATATAAAAAATAATCAATAATGATAAGGCAGATTCATATATCAAAGTAAATATTGATTCTTATTAATTTAATATATAAATATGATCATATCATTTAGATAACTTAAATAATTTAAAAAAAAATATTGTCATCGTGCAACGCACGATATCAAACGCTAGTTAATCAATATTATAATTGAAAAAAGTGCTGAAAAAACTTTGTTACTTCCGTCAACGTTTTAATAAATTAGCTTATTTCCATATAAACCTATACTTAAAAATAAGTTAGTTTATGTTTACCGAATTGGAAGCTTTTTAACTTTTCCGAAGGTTGAGTTACGGGATTTTGAAGGGGCCAAAGGCCCTTAGAATCAAAATATGTATTTAAAGTTTATCATAGTATCCATTTTAATATAATGTGTAGAGTGTTAAGTCAGTTTAGATATTATCATTTACTGTAATGATTTTTAACTAATTTTTTGAGTGATATGTCATCATAAAAATGTATTTTAATCTAATAACAACAAAATTAAAATTAAATATCTTTTTATAACATGTGAGCAAGRTCTTGGCCAAGGTCGCATGAATTTTACACATAATTTTAATGTAAAATCACATGTGATTTTGTYATTTTTATGTTTTCTTTTTTGGTTACTGTATTTGTATAAACCTGACTTTATTTTAATATTATAATTATTGTTGTAAATTTTAATTTAGCATAAAAAGATAAAAACCACTTGAAACAAATGTAATTTGTTTTGGAGTAAATTGAATTTTTTGTCCTTGTGGTGAGAAGGATTATGTCTAGTTTTGAAATTACGATTTTTATTCTTATAGTTTGTAAGTTATTATTATTTTCGTTCCCGAGGCTAATATTGTTAAAACTTCTCCATTAATTTAGAGGTATTTTAATTTTTTTGATTTTTTTTGGTTCGTTAAATATATATTTTTGGTATTTTTGTCTTTTTGATTTAATAAAACTATATATATATATATATATATATATATATATTTTTTTTTTGATAAAAAATTATATTATTTTGTTATTGTTTATGATAAAATAATTAAAATGTTTTTAGTACAACTAGTTTTTTTTTATATGTTTGGTCATTATACTTTTAATTTTTTATGAGTTTGATTTTTACCACTAAATCGTTGAAGTGCATGTCATTGAATACCCATCACATAAGAGTATTTTTAGTTCTTTTTTCTTCATTAGAGACCAAATAATTATATTTATATAGGACCAAACAATCAACTATTCTTACTAAAAAAGTGTATGTAGTTTTATTAATAGGACGTACAATTGTTTGGTCTCATAAATCATTCAATTATAGTTTATCTATAACTATAATTACCATTATCAAACAATGGATTAATTATTTTATCAGAAACAACAACAAAATAATATTTTTTTTTATGCTTCTATCAAAGAAAACTATATAGTTTGATTTGATTAAAAAGAATAAAAGATCAAAAGAAAACAAAAAGACTAAAACACCGTGAAGTAAATGGAATTTTTTTTAATAGATTTAGAGTATGTTTGGTGCAAACTTAGTAACGAAAATGAAAATGATAGTGGATGAATTTCAATTCCCTCCGCTTTTACCAGTAATCAAATTTTAGTCTTTTAAAATAATTAGCCCATTATATTATAGAAAACCAAATAATTCCTTTTATTTTCATTCTTATTGATTATTGACACCTCCTTAGTCTTTATGACGAAATTGACAATAAGTTACAAATTATGGGAATAAAAACAGTAATAAACTATAAACCACCGACACAAAACCGAAATTTGAAAACCATAAAACAAAAATCGCAATCTTTCCCAATGTATAGGGACTAGATTTTGTGGTTTTTACTCTTGTTTTTTTTAGATTTTGAATTCTAATTTTTATAGAATACTCTTTGGAGATCCTCTTAATGGGTCGGATGGTTCGATTCGGTCCATTTTGGCGGTTTGTAACGAAGAAAGTGGGGATGGGGAGTGACCCACTTACCTTTCCGAGTTCAAATCAGAATTAGGATATGGAAAACAGAATTTGAGAGAGGATCATGGCGACTGCTGAAAACTTCAAGGTGGTAGTGGTTCCGTCGGATCGTCTTTCACGCCCCCTTACATCATCTGACCACCATGAAACCACCACCGAAGAGAACTGGCATGATTGCCCTTCCGATCTTGCCTATAACGACGATGAATTCCCAGCTCTTGATGCTTTGCAATTCTTCCGCCTTGAATCTGGTTCTGATAAATCTGGCAATCGCATATTTCGAATTGTTGGCAAATACTTCCCCGGTATGATTCATATTTTATAATCTATGGAGTGGCTGAATATTGAATTTATTGTGGTTTCGTCGATCTGTGGGTTCAATTGGTTTTAGGGGTTATAATTTTATCACATTAAAGACTTGTAATTTTCCCTTTTTTGATTCGAATGGACCGATTATATCCTGGAATTATTTAACAAAATAGGGTTCACCATAGAATTTTTCACCTTTCTCGCTCATGTGAATAACCTTAAACCCTAAGATATGATTCAGGTTATAGCCGTATGCCATCCACCATAACCTTACGCTTCAATCACCCTAACTTCAAAACCTTCTCAAATTAATTGACGGTATGAGAAAATACAAATTAAATGGTATTGGTAATGAATCCTTCGAAGTTATGCCTTTGATCCCTAACAAAACCGGTATGCAGTGAAGAGGTCCAGGTAACAGGAAACAGATGGTTGATTGTGTTTGAAAGCACATATAACTGAGAGGAAGAAAGTGCCATGTAGCGTTAATATAGATACACATATGCTCTGGATTATATTATTCTGAGCACAAACTTAAAGAATAAGGGCTTTAACACGTAAATGTTGTGTGAATGGTATATATGAAGATAGCTGGTATTCAAGTACTTATTGTTCATGTTTAGTAGTTATAGTGGATGATTGATGCAATTGCATGGCTTGTTATTACTCCTTTGTGTTTGGCTTAATATGGCCTCATATGTGAAGCACAATGATTGGAAGTCCGCTACTGATGAACCATACATTGTTCTTGATCTATGTTGGGCCTAATGGTACTAAAATCACAGTTACGGCATTGCCGCTTGGTGTCTTGGCAGTGGCCAATTAGTGGCATCCACCTGCCTTCTAGGAGGTCTCCGGGTATCATAGGAGCAAATCAAGCCCAATACAAGATATTTAAACGGAAAAAACTTACCTTTTGGTAGTAAAACAATACTGAAACCCAAATTATAGACCTGGACTGGGGATGATGGATGAATGTGTGAGAATTGGGTAACAATTGTTGTTTATTTTTTTTCTTCTTTCTCTTTTATTCAGTGGAGTAATCATAGTTTTGTGTGTGTTTACTTATTAGTTTTCCCCTTTTTCCCTAAACCAAGTTCACCTAAACTATACCAATGTGCAGATTCTTATCATGACTTGCAAGTCATCAGTAAAGTATTGTTTTTATGTGGAAATTCGAGCTTTAAAGTCCTATTGTGATAGAATGTCAGTCTCTTGTGAGGAGGGGACTGGTGTTATGTTTTTATGTGTGACACGGAACTCGCACACTTTTAGTGATTATCTTCCGTGACTCTTGTTGGTGAATTGCTGCTGTGATGATGACACTAAAATTTCTGATGCCATGTTATATATTCCACTATGACCTTTCTTATGTGTTGTTATTGCTTTGACCCTTGCCAACTTGTTTTTTGTGTAAAGCAACTTGTCCTTGATGATTAAGTGTTGGTATATCTGTTTTTAGTTACAGATCCCACCTTCAAGTGGGATATATTGGGCTCGTTTTGGTATGGTTTGGTTTATATATGTGCTTATAGTATTGCATAAACTGTGCAAATTCAATGGGTACATATGCAAATTGAACATTATGAACAACATTCTTCCATATGGTCTGCCATGACAACTATGCTTAAACCAAGTCGACCTAAACATGTATGCTTCCTCAGTTAGATGATCATTGCTTCTTGATATCTTTTACACTAGCTTCGTAATAACGCTTATTGTTAACCATTGAATATAACAGCCCCAGTAATTGGAGGCGAATGGCTGAAGAAGTACATTATACACAAAATCTCTTCAGAGTTGCCAGAAGGACCATTCTGCATTGTCTACATGCACTCGACCGTGAGGAAAGAATATAACAACCCTGGAATCACCATCTTGAGGTGGATCTACGAAGAGCTTCCTTCAGACTTCAAGGACAGGCTTCAGGTTCTCTACTTTGTTCATCCTGGATTGCGCTCTAGGCTTCTTATTGCTACTCTTGGCCGCTTCCTGTTAAGTGGAGGGTAAGTTGCATATTACTAACCACAAGGGTTGTGGCGCAGTGGTTGAGGCCCAGGGGATGTGGCGGAATATCCCATTTGCCCCGTCCACAATAATTATGCCACTAAGTTTGTCAGGGTTGATGTCTTACAATCACAATTTGCTGGGATTAGTCTGGGAATAGCCCGAGACACCCTTCCAAATTAAGAAGTTGCATATTACTTATTGTACCTTTCGCTTGTTCGTACACACTCTTCTGTTACTTCTTGCACATAAACTAAACCAAACCAAATGATCCCCGTAGGTATGTCCCACCTGGAGGTGGGGTCTGGGTAAGATGTATGCAGACTGACCTCTACCCTGAAGAGTAATGTTAAAATTCTGTTACTTCCGGCAGATGTTTCCTTGTTAATTTTTTGTTTTGCTAGCCGAGGTGTTCACATAAATAGTTTCTCTTGAGGCATTGCTTTCGTACATCCTACTTATCCCTGACCCTACCTTTCTCGAATAAGAATCTTCTGTCCCCAAATTCCACGTGCCCATGTGAAGACACATCATTATATAGTTAATATAAATTTATTTAATTTATCTTTTTATTCTTTCTCCTCCATAAAGTGATCGTGTGTCTTCATACAGGGATAAGACATGGAACCTAGGGACGAGCGATTTTTATTCACCAGTATGTGGGATATATTGGGTTTGGTGTTAATCATGACTAAAGATGAATCAAAAACAATTTCAGAAAGTTGAAACATTATGCTGTAACATCACACACAAAACAGATGTTATCATGAGAGTGTATATGTGTGTGTGTGTGTGTGTGTCCGCTCATAATGTTTATTCCTATCACAGGTTATATTGGAAGGTGAAGTATGTTAGTCGGCTGCAGTATCTGTGGCATGATATGAAGAAAGGATCAATTGAGATTCCCGACTTTGTAGTTGAACACGATGATGTTCTTGAACATAGGCCACTGACGGATTACGGAATTGAACCCGACCCCCTTCACTTCACCGGGCTTCCTTCCAACAATATCCCGTATGGGAGGTATGAAGATCGGTGGACGACTAGTTAACTTTAAAGAGCTTGTTTAAATAGCTAAAGAAGTTGTCCTTGCTGCTGCTGCTGCTGTTACTTTGATGCAAACCAAATTAAGCGTTGTGTAGAAGCATAAGAACAAGTAACTAATTATGGACCAATTTGTGTTTAATATAAATTAGCATGTTTAAGAGTCATATTTTTTTTCAACCGTGGGTGTCCGGATCAACTTTGTGCTTGAAGATGGAAAATTCCATGTGACATGAGGAGCCTCGAACTAATGACCTATAAGGTGAATTCTAAAAGCGGGCCTCTATGTTGCCAGTTGAGCAGCCCTAAAGGTTACATAGGTCTTGTTTGTCATAGCATTTAGTTTTATATGATTTGCGTTACTCTTTCGTTTGCCAACACGATTTATCATACGAACAACGATAATCAATTGGATAAACGAATGAAGTGGAAGTTGTTATATATCAAGTAGGTAACAACCCTGTGTGCTTGTGTAGAGAATATTATTAGATTGAGTTGAAGATATTTGAACAACCCAATCTAATGCTTGCGATTTGAAAAATCTCAATTCAATCTAACCAAAGTCCAACTCAACTCAGCCCAAACTATATAGGTTGGTTGGGTTGATACTTTAATATATCGTCTAGCTTCCCAACTTGTAGACGGTTCCTTTTCAAAATATTCTCCTAATTTTGACTGTCTTTGTTTTCTCTGGTCTACTTGTAATATCTTTTTCATCATCAATCAGTTGTACAACTTATTGATATTTTTTAAATATTAAGTATATCACATTCAATTAATTTTTTTCAATTTATATATATATATATATATATATATATATATATATATAAAACATGTGTGTGTTCACAGTTACTAAACCTATATACAAAGGAGTTATATAGAGATTGATCATATAATTAAAAATATTTGTATGTTATGAAGGTATGTGATGGTGTAATTGTCTTATGTACATATTAATAGAGACTCGACAATCATATTAAATCCAAAAAATAAAAGGATATCAAGTTTATCGATTTGGGTTGGGTTCAAATAAAAGTAACCTGATATTAACCCAATACTTACAGTTTGAAGATTTTACAACTCAATTAAATATCAGGTTGCTTCGAATTAAGTTATTCTGCATTGGGTTGGATCGGGTTTTCAAACACCCCTAATTATTAGAATATAAGTAGAGATTAGATTGATATATTATAAACAAAATAATTTTCAATATAGACGCCATGAATATAATCAATAGTTTCGCAAATTCTTTTGAGTCAATTGATCGATGTAAAAAGTATGGATATATGAAAAGTAAGTAAAAGCATGTAACCGTGTTCGATGGTGGTAAAAGACATGATGTATATTTTGAACGGATGTAATTTTTGGTGGGGGATATAACATTTAACAAGATTTTATTATAAGTTTTAATTAATACACCTAGCTATAATATATCATTCTTAAATATTATCATACAGGGTTATTTATATTAAGAAAAGATAATTAGAGATCTCTACCCTTAGATCAATTCTAATAAAAAAGAACCAATAGATCAACACCAATGAAATACAATAGATCAATTCTCTTTTAAAAGTTGTTTTAGGATTAAAGATGATCAAATGATCCAAATTTTTTCTTACATTTCTTATCTTAACTTCTATTTTATTTCCTAGATTAAATTTGTTAATCACATATGTCAAAGTCTAACTTTCTATTTTATATGTATGCATTAATTAATTTTGTGAAGTTGGTTGTTTAACATCTTTTTTATTTCAATCATGTAAAAGTTGACTAATTAACATGCCAATAAAAACAAAATGATATTTGTCTATTTAAAGAATAAAAAACGGTAACAAACAACATAAAAATGATTAGTTCATAATATATTTGTTGTCAAATATATTATTAACAATTAAATAGCTAGCCAAAGTCTTTAGGATTAAAAAAACCTCATATATAGCAGCTTATTCACGTACTAACTTGGAATACATTAACCACCAAAAGCAGCCATCTTCCTGGCTGTTTATAAGAAGCCCTTTAAGCTGTTAGGCTTTGTACGTCTGAACGATGACAAACACATTCTTATTTCTCCTCTTTTGTTCCTTGATTAGATCTTCAGCTTCAAACAAGAATGCTCTTCATGACTATCATCATCTTCAAAGAGGCTCTTCTTTATCTGTTGCTGATGCTTCACACCTCTTAACTTCCCCAGACAAATCTTTTACTTGTGGTTTCTATAACTTCCAACGAAACGCTTACTGGTTCGCAATCTGGTTCACAAACTCCAAAGACCGAACCGTGGTTTGGACAGCCAACCGCAACACTCCTGTCAACGGTCGTGGCTCAAAGGTTACGTTTCGGAGCAACGGAGCCATGGTTTTGACTGATGTGGATGGCATGGTTGTATGGGAGACAAACACAACGTCGACGAATGTAAATAGCGCGATGTTGCTTGATACAGGTAATTTCGTATTGAAGAACCATAAAGGTCAGATTCTTTGGCAAAGTTTTGATTATCCAACAGACACACTTTTGCCTTCTCAAACACTAACAAAAAGCAAAAACTTGATATCTGCTTCAAGAAAAGGAAGTCTTGAATCTGGGTATTTCCATTTGAGTTATAACAGTATTAATGTTTTAACAATGGTCTACGATGGCCCAGATATATCAAGTGTGTACTGGCCTAGTCCTGATCCTGGTTTTAATGTTTGGGCTTATGGAAGAACCTCCTATAATAGTAGCAGAATTGCAACCTTTAATGATTTCGGCGTGTTTACCTCGAGCGATAGGTTGCAATTCAGTGCTCTAGATATGGGTCTTGGGATCAAAAGGAGACTAACCATGGACTATGATGGTAATCTCAGAATTTATAGCTTGAACGAATCAACTGGATTATGGTCGATATCATGGCAAGCTCTTGCACAACCATGCACCGTTCATGGAATTTGTGGGAGAAATGGGATTTGTATACATGGAGAAAAACCGAGATGTTCGTGCCCGCCTGGTTACGAGTGGAGCAACCCTACTGATTTAACTCAAGGATGCAAGCCTACTTTCAAGAAAAGATGTAAAAACTCAACAAGGTTTGGATTTTTAGGACTGCCGTATACAGATTACTATGGGTTTGATCTAAATTTTTCATCATCCATTTCTTTCGAATCTTGTAGAGATATCTGCTTGAAAGATTGTGGTTGTGAAGCATTTAGTTATAGGCGAACTGGTGAAGGTAATTGCTTCGCTAAAAGTGTCCTCTTCAATGGCCTCCAATCATCTAATTTTCCAGGAACCCTATATTTGAAAGTACCAATAGGCATGGAAACACTAGACAATATCCTTTCTGGTTTTGAGCCCACATGTGTGGATACTACCATTGTCGTGGGTTCATCATCTATGTACGGATCATCTGACAAAAAGGTGAAATGGGTTTCTCTTTACTCCTCTTTGGCTATTGGTGTGGTTGAATCTTTAGCCATCTTATGTTGAAATCTAACCGGATTTCTTCTACAATCGTGTGAATCACTTTCCAAATTCGATATTTCGACCGTATATGCCTGGTATCACGAAATCCGAATTGGGATAATTGTAAAAGCAACAATCTTGATTTTTGGCAGAAATCAAGATCAAAACTAGAGAAAAATATAGAGTGTCTTCTAAAGTTCGTGTGTTTTCCCAAAAACTGAAAATCGAAATTAAAACTCAAAAACTGTGAAAACGGGAGTTACAAAGTTATAGGATTCACAATCCTACCACAGAAAAATCCAGAATTTTCCATTATAAACCCTATACTTATATAGTTACAAAGTTATAGGCTGCCCCGCACCCCGCTAGTGGCTCTGCCCCTAGGACCCCGCCAGGGGCGCTGCCCCTTGGGACCCTGCCCGCTGACCGGGCAGCGGGACCCCCGTTTTGCGTTCAGGGGGCGTTGCCCCCTAAATATTACCGGGACCGACTTAGACTAATACAAGCGTGCACTCCACACTCTCCATACATGTTTTAGAACAAAGTTCAATCCCTTTGAAACACACGTACAAAATCCATTACACTAAATGTAACCGGTGACACTAAAATCACCAACATCTTATTTGCATGGTGGCTTTTCTATGGGAACAACGAACTCATAGCCAACCTAGAATACGGGTATTGTATGATATCAAGTCAATTCAGGGGTTTTAGTTATCAAGAATTGATGAAAGCGACACAAGACTTTAAGGTAGAGATAGGGCGAGGAGGCTCTGGGGTCGTGTATAAAGGGGTTCTTGAAGACGAAAGGGTGGTGGCTGTGAAAAGACTCGAGGATGTGAGTGGAGGAGAGTTTTCGACAGAGATAAGCACCATCGGTCAAATTAATCACATGAATCTAGTCCGAATGTGGGGATTCTGCTCGGACAAAAAACATAGACTTATAGTTTATGAGTATGTGGAAAATCTCTCTCTTGACAAGAGATTGTTTTCCTCGAGTTTTCTTCAATGGGATGAACGTTTCAAAGTTGCCATTGGCATAGCAAAAGGTTTGGCTTATCTACACCATGAGTGCCTAGAGTGGGTTATCCATTGTGATGTAAAGCCCGAAAACATTCTTTTAGATGGTGCACTTGAACCAAAGATTGCAGATTTTGGTTTGGCAAAGTTGTCTCGAAGAGGTGGACAAAATTCGGAGTTCACTAGGATTAGAGGGACGAAAGGATATATGGCTCCAGAATGGGCACATAACCTGCCCATCACAGCCAAAGTCGATGTGTATAGCTATGGGGTTGTGGTTTTAGAACTTGCAAAAGGTATTCGGGTTTCTAGTATAATTGTACATGAAGGAGAAGAGGAAGTATCAGAGCTCATGAGGCTTTTAAAGGTAACAAGAAGAACTATTCAAGAAGAAAATGAGTTATGTTTAGAAGAGATTATTGATCCACGGTTGGAAGGGTTATTTAATAAGCAACAAGCTAAAAAACTGGTTGAAATCGGTCTCAGTTGTGTGGAGGAGGACAGAAATAAAAGGCCAACAATGGATCTGGTAGTCCAAATTCTAAATGATTGTGAGAGTCAGTAACTAAATGTGCTACAAAGAATAAGACTTGAATGTTTTAAGAAAACAAAACTATTCAGAGATGTTTTAAATTCTAAATGATTGTGAGAGTGAGTAGATGTTTTAATTTAGATGTGATTATGAATTTACACATTTTCTACCAACAATACATAGCACTCTTCATAAAGGATCTGATATTAGAATGTGTTTTTATCTATCGTTCCCTAAAATGTATCATATTATCCAATTGTTAATTATTTTGCTAATAATTCATATTATACTTTTACCCGAGTGTATTCTATGTTTCTATTCTGTATTGTCTTTTATATAAGAGATATATTAACTATTGAAAATTGTTAATTATTTTGCTAATAAACCAAATTATATTTTTATTTGAGTATATTCTATATTTCTATTAATTCTCTCTTTTGTACCGTCTTCTATATAAGAGATACATTAATCATTGAAAATTGTTAATTATTTTGCAAATACTCCAAATTATATTTTTATTTAGGTATATTTTGTGTTTCTATTCCTTCTGTCTTTTGTATTGTCTTTTATATAAAAGATACATTAACTGTTACAAAAATAGGGATACAAAATTTTAGACATTTATGACTGTAATGTGTGTAGAAAAACGGTCATGACGTTCGAACCGTTTCACATATGTAACAACAGGTTCTCAGAAATTGGCACAATTGAGCGAGGTGTAGTAAATTTAAAAAAATTTTGATTTTAATATTTTATTTGTGTTCGGATTCCCTGAGTTCTGTTATACAAAATACCCACAAGGTTAGATTCATATATTAAACTTGTGTAGGTGTCTAGGTGATGATTACTTTGATAGCTTTTATGAGTTTTAGAATCACAAAGTGAGTGATATTGGTTAATCAAGATCCTCCTTTTGGTTGTAGACATACACCATCCTTTCCATTGGTGGAACCATGTTATATCCATGAGTATGACTTTCTAATTGAAAAAAAAACGTATAGTAGAGATGGAAAGGGTGAGGATATGGACCGAATACCTGATCTTGAGTAACCTAGTGTCCCAAAGCCACCACTTAAAAGGTCCTCTTGCATAATACAAGAAGCTCCTAAAATTGTGGTTATTGCACCCCTAAAAACCACTCTAAAGCCCCTTTCACAACCGGTTCAAAGGACCCATGAGCCACAACCTATAGACAGCCGATTTGATGATGTTTTAGGTCTAGGTAAGAGAGGGTTTGATAGAGTGTATGTGGATACTTATGATTTCCTTCATGAGGTCATTGATGCACATGGTTGGGATGTTTTGTTATAAAACAGAGTTTCAATAACAAACAATCTCTGAAAACAGAGAACACAATGATAACTTGTATGGTTAACGCACAAATTCACAACATCACAAAACTGGTGTTGTGATTCAAATCATAAAACAAAAATTAGAAGGAACACAAAAATTTACATGGTTCGGCCTTTAGCCTACATCCACCAAGCAGCAGGAACAAATTCACTATCAAATCGTGGAGATTACAAAGGTTCACACACACACTCCTTACACCATTATCTGCTCTCAGACCTTCTTAGAAAAAAACACACATCTTTTTTCTTCTTTTTTGTAACTGTCTTTAGGGCTGTGCAAAACCCGACCGTACCCGAACAACCCGAACTACCCGACCGAAAATAACCGATCCGAACCGAACTATGTAACCCGACCAAAACGGAAGTCCGAATCCGATTCATACGTCAGGTATGGAGGATCGGGTAGGGTGGTTAAATCCACCACCCGAACCCGTCCGATACCCGAAAAGCACAAAAGGGTTTTAGTTTTGCTTTAGGGATGTTGCTGCTGCTTGTTTGCTGCCGTGTGTGTTTCACTTAGGACAACTCCAACCATCACACTAAAAAAAACACAAAAAACACCAAATCTGGTGGGCCCATAAACACAAAAAAAAACTCAACTCCAATCACAATCTAAAAAAACACTAAATTTGTGGACCCCACATTAAAATAACATATTTTATTAACTGTTTTTAATAACAATATTTATAATTTGTAATAGATATTATAATAATAAAGAATTAGTAATTAATTAATTTAATGAAGAAATGTTAAAATAAAAACGAAAAATTGTAATTAAAAAATTTTATATTTAAAAAGATTACATTAGTTCAAATAACACATAAATAATACTAATTCTCCGAGTCAGTTTATGCCTAGCGGAGACGATTGGACCCTTTAATTTATGTATTTCAATTTTTAAATTTCCATTAATAAAATATGTTTACGTTTATCCAGTATTATATTTGTGTTATTAATAATTTATTATATATATATATATAAATTTAAATAATAAATATAAAAACCTAAAATCTTAATATTGTAATTATTTATTTATTTATTTATAATTTATTTATAAAAAAATATTTAAGAAAGGTGGTGGGGAGTGGGGACCACCCATTTGGCAGGGTTTTGCCGTTCACTTTCTTCACGGCATATTTGCCGTTCGTTTTCACTCGCCGGCATAATTTTAGTGTTTTTGACGGACGATTGGAGCCAAGAGAACGGCAAAACCCTAGTTTTGCCGTTCGATTGGAGTTTCTCTTAGAGCGGCTAACATGTGCTGTTTCTTCTTTGAATTCAGAACTAAAGAGCGACCAAGGACGACTTGCCTATCTCATTGCCTTTGCCGGTTTGCCCTATTGAGTGTTGTGCCGGTGGCCCTACGCCTAACGCCGGTGAGTTGTGACTCTGCCGGCCTGCCTCTCTCGAAGACTCAAAGTCTCAACTCTCTCCTCTCGAGCCCTTGAGTTGTGACTCTGTCGCCGGCCTGACTTGTTGTTGACTCTGCTAACACTGAACAATGGTTGATAAATGAACTGCTGCCTATACCTTTGTTGTTATATGTCTATTTGAGTTTGTTTTAATGGTAGTATGTTTTAGATCTTTGTTCAGAACTTGCAAAATGCTATACCTTCTGTTAGAGTTTTTGAGAAATGATTTTGGTATGTTGTTATTAGCTGCCATATATGTGCATCTTTGACTTGGAGTTTTATGTTTCATCAAGTGCAGTATCTTTGATTTATATCTCAGATGTTATTTGTTTAATGTTGATCCCTGTCTAAAGCCTAAATATGAGTCCCCATTCCTGTATGAACTCCATATCCATGGCTTTCCCATCTGACCGTACATCTCCGACATAGATCCTACACCTAAACCCATATCTCAAACCCTGGTTGATATTTTGCCCCCTATACGGTTGCCCATTCTCAACCTCATGGCCGTCATAATTCCCAACAACCCGGTTTCCTTTGTATCACCGACTCATTTAATGGTAATAACGCAGTAGAAAAAACAGCAAGGGTTTCTTGACGAAAAAGTGCAGTCGTGAATAGAATTCGATAGAGTTGGTGATTCTGCGAAGGAATCTGGGAGAAAACAGGTCGTAGAATCAAAATCACCGTTCTCGATTGCAATTTGATGCTCATTCTTAGGGTTATTTCTAATCGTTAACATCGTAAACTGGTATTTAGTTTATCATCAATGAATACAGTCTGCAAAAAGATTGTTATACATCCTATTTAAAAATTGGTGATTAGTTTCTTCACCCGAACCTGACCCGAAACAGCCCCGTACCTGCTTACACCCGAACCTGATTGGAACCCGAACCCCGAACAGTATACTTCGGGTTGTGGCTTTGTACCCCGAAACCTGATCGGGTTATCCATTTTTGGGTCCGATCCGACCCGACCGATGCACAACCCTAACTGTCTTGCAGTTAGGCATGGGAATAGGCCCCGACCCGTCGAGGAACCCGGTGCACCCCCCGGTTGGGGACGGAGATTCCCTGCTAAATCAGGGATGGGGACGGGGATCCCCGTTTGTCTCAAACTGGGGATGGGACGGGGACGGGTATGGTACTCCCCGCCCCCCGTACCGTACCCATTATATATATATATATATATATAGGTGGAGGTTCAAACGAGAACCCCTGTGATTTACGAGAACGCGAGAACAACTCAATAACCTCAAACTTTTTTAATTAATAAATTAACGTTTATTATATATAAATAATTTAATAAGGACAGTAATATAAGTAATTTTTATAATTTTTATTTTATTTTAATTAACCATAATTATCCTTTCACGTTCTACGTTTTACTCTTAGTAGTTTTCTTCTTCTCCTTCGTTCATGCTTCTTCTCCTTCTCGTTCATGATAATCTCTAGATAGTTGATGGCTTAACATCTTTTCTTCATATCACACCCCTATCACATAAGTATCACACTCATATCACATGATTATCACACCCATATTACATGATTACACCAAAATTTTAACTTATCAACCAAAACGATAACCCAAGTGATGTATAACAGTGATTATCACACCCCTATCACATGATTATCACACCCAAATCACACGATGACACCAAAATTTTAACTTATCAACCAAAACGTTAACCCAAGTGATGTATAACGGTGATTATCACACCCCTATCACATAAGTATCATACCCCTATCATATGATTATCACACCCCTATCACATAAGTATCACTCCCATATCACATGATTATCACACCCCTATCACATGATTACACCAAAATTTTAACTTATCAACCAAAAYGATAACCCAAGTAATGTATAATGGTGATTATCACACCCATATCACATGATTATCACACCCATATCACATGATATATCACACATAGTATAATCCTAACCTATCGAAACCATTCGAAATCCTTGTGATAATGTCTAACATAACCAATTGAAACCATGATGAACTCGAGTGACATTGATATCACATGAGTATCACAACTAATCAATTAAAAACTTATTCAAAACGAGTAATTTTGAAAGATACCTTGAATTTGTCTGCTTGTTGCATGCAATGGCTTCTCGATTAGGGTTCTTGGTCGATTAGGGTTGCGTGTTCTTGGTTGATCACCGTCGATCAATGTTTGCTTCCGTCGGTTGTTTTTGCGATTTGAAGTTATGAGTCTCATTGAATTCATAACCGTTTACTAGATAATGATAAGGC